TGTTCTTTAAAAACTATATTGTTTGGGAACCAACAGTTAGTGTAATGGCTATGTCGCTGGACTCCCACGTAGTCGACCGTGGTTCGCGTCCCGGACCTGGTGGCTTAAAACTCACACCAGGCGCGTGTGTAAGTGTGCCCAAGATCCCAGGAGGAGAATGGAGAAGGGATTGCGGTGTGACCATCCCCCCAGGGGGGAATGATTTCTCACTTTCTGTCTCTATGTCCCTCTCTGTCTGTCTGGCGAGCGCACGTGCCCTATAGCAAAAACCTCTCCAAAAAAAGAAAAACTATATTGTTTTACATGAACTCATGATCTTCTATCATTTTCTAGTATATATCAAGACAAATATGGTATTTTTCAGATCACCCATGCCTTAAAAATAAACAACATGTGGAAAATTTACAAGAACCAGTTTTACATAAATATTTAAAAATTTATCATCCAGAAGACCTACAGCATTTTGCTCGTCTCATAGGGAGGCTCACCGAACTGAGAACTCTGAAACACAAGTACTCATAAATACTTAGTGCTTGGAAAACAAAGAAACCCAAAGTGATCAGCTTACTCTGAAGAATGGAATTTGTATTCACAATAATCGAATTTTAGAACCTGTGAATTCTCTTAAACTTCCTAAATATTCTAAGGATGGCTGATATGAATAGGATTGCTGTTACCAGTGTATCACCATAAAATGGATATCATCCATGCTCGTTAAATTTTGCGAAATACAGGATTACCACTAGAGGGACATCTAGGATTCTTTTTAAGATTAGAATCAAAAGAACCAATGGTTATTGTTTCCGCATGAGTCCTTCAAAAGGGAATAACGCTGCAGAGTCCTCACCTAAAGAAACTCCACGTTTCCACCCTGGATGCACGTGTGTGGTTGTGCCCAGGATCCTGAGCTGGAGAGCTGGTGTGAGGAGGTGGTGTGATGAGACTATGTCGAGGGTGCCCCTCTCTTTCGCTATCTCGTGCACATACACCTTCTGTTGTGAATGAAATAAGCTTAAAAAACTTAAAATTTTCATTTAATAGAAAATTGAGTGAAAATAGTATATATACATTAGTTGTAGACATGAAACAACTAGCTAGTAGAAAGGGTTGTAATCAGAATAAAAGGCAGCTGGTGACCCTCATTAACTGAGGCTGCATTGATAGAATAGGGAACAGCACTTAAACTTACTCTTATTATAGAATTTATGAAACAGTAAAGGAAGAGACAAGGGTTTATTCAAGCCTTTTTTTTTTTAGAGAGAGATTTTTGCTACAAGGCATGTGAGCTCACCAGAAAGAGAGAGACAGACAGACAGACAGGAAGTGAGAAATCATTCCCTGGGGACATGGTCACACAGCAACCCCTTCTCTATTCTCCTCTCAGGATTTTGGGCACGCATGCACACACGCTGGGCATTTTTTTTTTTAAGAATTTTTAAATTTAACTTTCTTACTTCCCTCTCTGTCTCTGTCTCTTTCTTTTCTATTTAACGAGGTGGGGGGGGAGGGAGAGAGAGAGAGGGAAGAGGGGGAAGGGGGGAGAGAGAGAGACCAAAAAAAAGTGAGAAAGCAAGCTATCAGGTCCAGGACTTGAACCATGGGGGACTCCCATGTGGGAGTCCATGGCCCCTAACCACCATGCCACCTGCCCCCACCCACCCCCTGTCAGTTTTTTAAGCTGCCTGGTCCAGAACTCAAACCACAGTCTGCTATGTGGGAGTCCAGTGATGTAACCATTACACCATCTGCTGGTCCCTCAGTTCTTTTTCTTAATGTCTTAAAAAAGATAGTTTTATAAGCCAAAATGAAAATTTATTATGGCAATATATCAAAAAATTAAAATAACACATTATTAAAATATTTAAAAACATATTGGGAAATTCAGCATAATTTGTTTCTCATTCTGGTAGAAAATATTTTGACATTTTTGCCAACACTTCTTATAGAAAAATATTTTAAAATCTGAAAGCTTTCTACAAATATTTTAGTCCTCAGGATAGGATGGTAATATGTTAAGATAATTATCATTTGAAATACATGAAAGTGAGGATGTCTATGGTAGCCCTATTGCTATGAAAGACAATGAAAGTAGACTAAATTTGTGAATTTACTATTGTGGTAGCATTTTTGCTTTCAATAAAGAAAAACAGATTGCAACTGAATTTTCACCATTGTAAAGCTTATTTTTAAAAAATATTCAATTTATACTCTGACTTAAAAATATCTTAGCTGTATCAACTCTTGTCTCCAGAAGGCACCTTGTATATATTATTGGTGTTATCTCTTAGTGAGAGTGTCTCATCTTCTTACAGGGCTTCTAGATACAATTTCCTTAAAATGTAAAGTGAAGGAGTTAAACTAGGTTATCTGTTGGAGCTAAAAAATTCTATAATTTTAGCAAAAACAATCATGTCTGACAGACATACAAAACAAACAGGATTATTTAAAAATACTGCTAACTTCCTTTGGAAGAGCATCAGCGAAGAGACCTAGAGAGAAAGTAAAAACAGAACTCATCATTTATTCCTCAAATGTAGGTATTAGCACAAGGGTAATGATACATTTAGGTACCCAAGTCTGAAAATGGGCAGTCATCTTCGCCTTCTCCCTCTCTTTCACTTCTATTAAAAAGCCATCAAATCCTATTAATTTTACTTCCTAAATGTTTTATATTTGACACCTCTGACTCATCTCCACCTCTACTGTGTTGGCTCCCCTGTCTTAACCAGTGTTATACCTAACATGTTGTTTTATTTGCTGTGAGGAATTGTTACACTTGCTATATTGTTTAATGGCTAAGTTAGTAGTTTGCTGTGAAGAAAATGTTTGATTGTACCGCTGCTTGCTGAGAGCATACCTGATTCCATTTTGTAGTAGTCAGACTGGCATTAGTTATGTTCCCAGAAATTCAACATTCAGCCAACACCCTAGTGCTTATCGCTGATAGGAGACTAGCCATATGCTAACTGATAGCATGAGGGATGCAAGCATGGTCTATGCTTCAATCCCCCTCATGACTGGCAAAAAATATGTAAACAAATCCCACTTTGTTTTGACCAAAATCCCATAGACTGACATGTAAAATGTTACAAAAATATTTTGATGTTTTGTCAAGTCACCATGAGCCTGTCAAATTAGACATAAAAAGAGGAGCCCGAGCCCAGCTCATCAGCTCTGTCCTCCGCTCGGGCCAGATTCCATCTCGCTGTATCTTGAGACCTCCCTTGCAGCCAGAGGCTTTGCCAGTTTGCACACTGACTCCTCCTTTCCCAGACAGCCCTCTGTCCCACCGTCTTTGATGCTCCACTGCCCACCACTAGTCCCGACCTCCTCTAGGATCACCAGGTGGATTTTCCTCCTCATTCACCCTGGGTCATCTTGTAGCCACCGCCACCATCGTTCCCTAAGATCTTTGTGGAGCCCACCTCGGGCTCACCACCTGTGCCTGTAGATGCCCAGCGTACTCAGCACTTGGTCTCCCTTGCACCCTTGTGGACTGCACTCCCTGTCACCAGGCCAGCATAGGTCGCTTTGCCCGGAATCATCCCATCGTGACTTGTAAGCCCCTTTTTCCCTGTGTGATTAAAGTAACCTGAAAGGCAAATCTGAGTCCTGTCCTCCTTTCGCTGGCTAGAGGACAGATTGGCTGTAACTGCTTGGGTGGCCAATAAAGGTGGATTGAACCTTTATTAATTCATGCTTAAACTCTCTCTCTCTCCCCCTCTCGCTCCTCTTCCAAAACTCCCCTTGCTGTGCCGCAGAACAATTGGCAGAGTGGACAAAACTGTCTTCCTGGGGCCAGCAGGTGGCATGGTAGTTAAGGCACTGGATACTCCCACATGGCCAACCACCGTTCTAATCCCAGACCTGGTGGGTTACTTTCTCACTTTCCCTCTCTGTGTGTCTCTCTCTGGTCAAATTAAAATAAATGAATGAATAAATAAAATTAAATAATTCTTAAAAAAAAATGAAACAAACAAAAACCGTCTTCCTAGCACCAGTCTCCTAAGCCTAACCAACTCTTCCCATGACAAACTTCCTTCCCACCCTGATCACGCGCCCTTCCCCTCCAGAGCCCCTGCAGGTCCTCAGGCCCACCTAGTCCTCACTGGCTCCACACTTTCTGGACCCCTTGGCACCAATCTCTTTCATCGCCCTAGCCTTTGCCCACTTTCCCTCCAGCAGCTCTCTGTTCGCCCTTCCTCTGTTCTCGGGCGAGAGAGCCGAGCCCACTCCGGCCAGCGCTTCCCGCGTGGGCCTCTCCTCAGGGCCGCCCTGTCGGAGCTGCGGGCGTAAAGGAGAGCAATGGGATACTAATGCTATGTTTTCAACAACTAGGAATGTATATAATAACATTTTTCTATGTAAGTCTATACATCGTGTCTACAGGCTCCTACCTAAATCGATGTTTCCCCCATTTTTGGAAAGATTAGTCATTATAATTGGAAAACCAAAATCTTAAATACATTTTTTGAAACTCTAATAAAACATAGATATTAAGTACACTGTTCCATACCACTCAGATACCTAGCAGTGTAATTTACGCCTATGTAATATACATCTGCTTTAAAAAGTGACTGTAATTGTTAACTCCTTTAACGAAGATATAGTGTTTAATAGCACATGTTTTTACACAAAGCAAAAAAAAAATATTTCCACCTGTAAGATGAGGCAAACTATAAATAACTAGATATTATGTTTTGTAGGTATTCAAGAATCACAGCACGAGCCCAGTTCCCTCGAGTTCTTTGACAATAGCAGAAGCTCAGAGAGTGTGAAGTCGAGGAAGAGGCGGAAAATTCGGGAAAGAACCCTCTGGCGGGAGGGAAATCTCGCGAGAGGCAGGATTCGGGCGCCGCGGGCGGTTAAAAGCCGGTTAGCAGCGGTTGGACGTGCCCAGACTTGCCCACCGCCCTGCGGCCGCGGTTTCCCGCCTTTTCTGAGGTTCGGAAGAGAAACTCTGGGTTCTTTTTCTGGCCTCCTGGACAGAGTGGGCCGCGCGGGTGCGGGCTGTGGTTCCGGCTCGTTCTTCGAAGGGGGGGGCAGCGGTGCCGAGTTCTTTCCCGAGGACGGAACCGGCCGGCGGGACTGGGAAACCGCGCCTCGCTGACGTGGCAGACACCGGCTTCTTCTCGGTAGCCATCCCAGAGCAGCAGGCGGTTTCTCCTCGCCATCGATGCCGTTCACTGGGGCTTTCTTGTCTGATGGTCACTGCGATGTCCTGGTAGAGGTTCTCGCTGGTTTCCGTCGCCTTTGTGGCGACAGGTGGGCGGGAAGGCGGGAATAGTGGGCTTTTACCTGGGACCAGTCCCGCCGCAAGCGACGCTGGCGATGGAGGGGACCTCGTGGCAACGGGCACGCCTGCTCCTTCGCCTAGCCAGTTGGTGTAAAACGTCAGCTTTGAATGAGGAATAAATAGTATATTAATAACACAATGTGAACTCTCCCTCCCCCTATTTTGACTTAATAGGTATTGCCAAGTGGAAGAGCGAAAATGGAAAAGCAAAAGCCTTTTAAATTGTTTGTTCCACCAAGATTAAGCAGCAGCCAAGTGTCTGCAGTGAAACCCCAGAGCTTGGGCCCAGATTCTCATTTGTTCAAGGTAAATTTGCATATGGATCTTCATTGGTCTTCTTTAGGTTAATGAGGCCAAGTGTGTTTTCTCACTGGTGATATAATTATTTATTTTTAGTCAGTATGGTCTGGCTACCCACTGATTTTGTGTAGTATTGCGCCGAATGATCATCGAGCATTCTTGCTCTTGGGCGCCGTTCATCTGCAGAAATCGTCCCTCACTCTGCGTACTTGATAGGACCTGTGTGTTCTAATCCTCCTGCTTCTCCAAATGATGTAATTTATAAGACATACAATGAAACAGTAAAATACAAATGGGGAAAAAAATTACAACATTTTCCCAAGGAAAATAGGAATATTTAATCAAATGCTATGTACAGATAATAATCAGCATTGTGACTGAGTTTCAGACTGGCTCTCAGCTACCTGGGGACAAAGAGGGAAATACTGTCATACAGTAGAGCTCTCATTGACAGGAGGGATTATAGTTTTTCCGGTGAAACCATTTTTTCCTACTATTACTTAAAAATTTGTCATATGGTGCTTCACCTTGGAGGTAGAATGATACAATGAGTATTTTACTTTTGTATGCCATAGAAAATTTCTTATGGATGATATGGCCAAGAATGTATCATTGAAGTGCTATTTCTTAAAGACAATTTTCAATATTGTGTGGGGAAGGATAATAATGAAATTGAAGAATACTAATATCGTTCTATGCTAATAATTAAAATGACTAATTCTTGAATACCTACAAAGCATATGTTGAGTTATAGTTTAGCCTCATCTTACAGGTGAAAATAATTTTTTTTTTTGCTTTGTGTAAAGACATTTGCTATTAAACACTGTATCTTGATTAAAGGAGTTACAATTATAGTCACTTTTTTAAAGCAGATGTAGGGACCAGCAGTTGGCGTAATGGCTATGTCGCTGGACTCCCATGTAGTCAACTATGGTTTGAGTCCTAGACCTGGTGGCTTAAACTCAACACCAGGCATGTGTATATGCATGCCCAGGATCCTGAGAGGAGAATGGAGGAGAAGGGATTGCGGCATGGCCATCCCCCTTTATGCTTTCTGTTTCTCTGTCTCTCTCTTTCTGGCAAGTGTATGTGCCATATAGCAAAAACCTCTCCTAAATAAATAAATAAATAAATAAATAAATAAAATGGATGTATATTATAGGGGTATATGTTATACTACTAGGTATCAGAGTGGTATGGAACAGTGTATTAAGAATATCTTTTGTGTTCTAGAGTTTCAACAAATGTATTGAAGATGATTTTGGTTTTCCATTTGCAATGACTAATCTTTCCAAAAATGGGGAAAACATCAATTCAGGTAGGAGCCTGTAGAAACAATGTATCAACTTACATAGAAGTATTTTATTATATACATTTTCTAGTTATTGAAAATATAGTATCAGTATTCCATTGCTCTCCTTGATGTTAAAAGCTATGTCGCTGGACTCCCATGTAGTCAACTATGGTTTGAGTCCTAGACCTGGTGGCTTAAACTCAACACCAGGCATGTGTATATGCATGCCCAGGATCCTGAGAGGAGAATGGAGGAGAAGGGATTGCGGCATGGCCATCCCCCTTTATGCTTTCTGTTTCTCTGTCTCTCTCTTTCTGGCAAGTGTATGTGCCATATAGCAAAAACCTCTCCTAAATAAATAAATAAATAAATAAATAAATAAAATGGATGTATATTATAGGGGTATATGTTATACTACTAGGTATCAGAGTGGTATGGAACAGTGTATTAAGAATATCTTTTGTGTTCTAGAGTTTCAACAAATGTATTGAAGATGATTTTGGTTTTCCATTTGCAATGACTAATCTTTCCAAAAATGGGGAAAACATCAATTCAGGTAGGAGCCTGTAGAAACAATGTATCAACTTACATAGAAGTATTTTATTATATACATTTTCTAGTTATTGAAAATATAGTATCAGTATTCCATTGCTCTCCTTGATGTTAAAAGTGAATATAATATAAAAAATAAGATGTTGGCATGTCTGATTTTATCTTGCAGATCCTGCTTTACAAAAAGTTAATTTTTTGCCCATGCTTGAACAGGTCAGTTAAGCATAGTATATGTAGGTATAATCTGTTTAGGTATTGAATTATTGTTATTCTCAAGAAAAACATTCTGTAATTGTTGAGTTACTAGTCTTCTGTATTTACATGTTGTTATTTAGAAGCTCATATTGTAAATATTTTCTAGTATAAAACATTCTTTTTTTTAGGTTGATAATTCTGACAGTTGTCACTATCAGGAAGGACTGAAAGAGTCTGATTTTGAGGTCAGAAGATTTCTTATTTTTAAATTTTTTGTAATTGGAGTATAGTTTATTATTTGTATACATATATCTATTTTTTATTTTTTTATTAATTTAAATTTATTTACATTCATTCACTGTACATCATTACAGAATACAAAATGAGATTTTCCATCCAGAGTACACTGTATATTGTCTTAATCAAGCACATCAACAAACATGTTATTGTCAACAAGTAATTTTCCATTTCTTGTTTTCTGTATGTTTTGCTTTTTTTCACCCATCCTTGATTCCCTCTCTTACCCTCTGCCATCTCCCACTCTGCTCCCACACTGTCTCTGGTATCTATGTTTACTTTCTACACTGTTTTCCCCCCACATTTTATTGAATTACTAAAGATCTTAATCTAAATATTTTCATAGCAAACACAGTTGATATATACATTTCCATGAACACAAGTCTTACTTTAGGCATCCTATAAAGTAGCACCTAGCCGGGGCTACATATCTTACTGCAGTCCTTCAATAGATTTTTTTTTCCGAAACTTCTTTTTTTTTTTTTTTTTTTACTTTATTTTTGCTATACGGCACAGGCACTCCAGACAGACAGAGAGAGACAGAAAGCGAAAAATCACACCCCCCCCCAAGGGGGATGGCTACACCACAATCTTCTCCTTCATTCTCCTCTCAGGATCTTGGGCACGCACGCACACACACCCGGTGTGAGTTTAAGCCACCGGGTCCAAGACTCAAACGGCGATCGACTACATGGGAGTCCAGCGACATAGCCATTACGCTAACTGCTGGTCCCAGATCATGGCTTCCTTTGAATGCCACTCTGGGAAATGACTTGCAATCAGTTGTAACAAAATGTTTATTTAATTAAATCCAGAAAATATTTATTGAGCAAATTCCAAGAATTCTGAGCCTATAATAAATCAAACAGGTGTTGGTGGGCTGAAATTGACTTTTTTGAAGCAGAGCATATTTAATTTCCCTGAAATAGCATACCCTTGAGAACCTCTTGGAGATCTGGTCTGGTGCTGGTAAATTCTTTCAGGTTTTGTTTATCTGAGAATGTTCTTGTCTTTTCTTCCCACATGAAAGATAATCTTACCAGGTACAGTATTCTTGGCTGAAATTGCTTTTCTCTTAACACTTCGAATATATTTTCCCATTCTTTCCTCGCTCGCATTGTTTCTGATGAGAGATCTGCTGTTAGCCTGATAGGATGTCATATATCTATTTTTTCAAAAATATTTATTTATTTAATTCCATTTGTTATTATTTTTAAATTTGACCAGAGAGACAGAGAAAGGGAGACAGCTAGCTGCTAGACCTGGGACTTGAACCATGGTTGACCATTTGGGAATGCAGTGTCTTTAATCACCACGCCACCTGCTGGCTTCACCCATGTCTATTTTTATACTTTAATAGTTTTATTTGGTTAACATATTAAATCTTTTAAAGAATTATTTTTTATTTTAACTTAGTTATTTATTTTAATTTGATCAGAGAGGTACAGAGTGAGAGTGAGAGAGAGAGAGAGAAAGTGAGAAAGCAAGCCACCAGGTCTGGGACTCGAACCGTGGTCAGCCATGTGGGAGTCCAGCACCCTTAACCACCATGCCACCTACCAGCATGTATTAAACCTTTTAAAACTTTGTTTTTCTTTTAACTTTGTTGAAACACTAGGCTTCTGTATTTAACTGAATTCTTTAGGGGCAGTTTAAACTGAAAGGAATTTTTTTTTTCTTTATTCATGAACAGTGTGCATGTGTGACATGAGAGAGCGAGAGAAAGAGATGAGCACCATAGGGTGTGGTCATACTATAATCCCTTTCCTCTAGTGCTCTAGCCAGTCAAATCCATGTGTCTTTGGTGTGTTTCAGGCTGACTGGTCAGATTCAAACTGCAGTTGCCATGGGGGATTGATCCTGCTTCTCTTAAATGGTAAAACACAGAGCTGGCTCAGAGAACAATTTTGTATTATAGACATTAAGAATAGAAGACGTGGGATCAGCAGATGACATACTGGTTATGTTACTGGACTCCCACATAGTTGACTGCAGTTGAAGTCCCAGACCCAGCAGCTTAAAACATGCTGGGTGTGTGTGCATATCTGCCCAAAGCCCTGAGAGGAGAATGAAAGAGAAGATGGATTGATATGTGGCCATCTCTCCTGGGGGGCGATTTGTCTCTCTGGTGAGTGCATACACCCTATATCAAAATTTATAAAAAAAAAAAAAATCTTAGGCTTGATGAAAGTTACATCTTATATTTATTATTTTCTTCTCGTTGTTACATTTTAACCTTCATATCCTTTAGTTAATCTTCAAACTATGTATAATCAAAATATTTCAAGACTGTCATTAAGATTTATAGATTTTGGAGACCAGCAGTTGGCATAATGGCTATGTCGTTGGACTCCTCTGTAGTTGACCATGGTTCAAGTCCTGGACCTGGTGGCTTAAACTCACGCTGGGTATGTATGCATGCATGCCCAAGATCCTGAGAGGAGAATGGAGGAGAAGGGATTGCAGCATGACCATCCCCCTTAGGAAGTGATTTCTTGCTTTCTGTCTCTCTGTCTCTGTCTGTCTGGAGAGCGCATGTGCCCTATAGCAAAAATAAAAAACCTCCCAAAAAAGAGATATATAGATTTTGGGCCACTGCCTTGGCCTTAATGATTAAGGAAGCTGGATCCTACATATCTGATAGTGTGTTTCAAATCCAGAATCTGGTGGCTTAAAGCACATGCTGGTATGTTTGTGTGTGTGCCCCAATTCCCAAAAGGCTGAACAAATGGAGAAGTGATGATGGTGTGACTATACTCCATTGGGGGTGTTTTCTCTCTCTGTGTCTCTGGTGCATGAACCCTCTGGCAAATTAAAAAAAAAAAAAAAGTTTATGGACTTTTTTTGTACGGTGATATAACTTAGCTTTTCACCAGCCAGATTCTCTCATTGCCTAAATGTCTTAACTAAGCACATTTCGGGGCCATTTGGTTTTATTCAGCAAGGTGCAACTTGGACAGGTAACCAGTAACTGTAATGAAATAGCTGATACTCCCTTAGTAGTTTAAAGGAGTTGATGTAGGGACCAGCAGTTGATGTAATGGCTATGTCACTGGACTCCCATGTAGTTGACTGTGGTTCGAGTCCGGGACCTGGTGGCTTAAACTCATGCTGGGTGTGTGTGCGTGCGTGCCCAAGATTCCAAGAGGAGAATGGAGGGGAAGGGATTGCAGCGTGGCCGTCTCCCTTGGGGGTTGATGTCTTGCTTTCTGTCTCTTTGTCTCTCTCTGTCTTTCTGGTGACTGCATGCACCCTATAGCAAAAGCCTCTTAAAAAAAATAAAAAAAGAGTTTATGTAGCTTTCAGGATGCTATTGAGGAGCAAATTAAGAAAAAGTTTGGTCTTGACTGTTAGTGCATGGATATTTTTCACAGGCAGCTATAATTTGGTTATATTAACATTTTGGACAAATAATTTTTGAAAACCCATTTTAATAGAATTCAGAACCAATGAGCAGACTTTATTCAAAACTGTATAAGGAGGCTGAAAAGATCAAAAAGTGGAAAGTGAATGTAGAATCTGAACTGAAGCAGAAAGAAAATAAGTTGCAAGAAAATAGAAAGATAATTGAAGCACAGCGAAAAGCCATTCAAGAACTACAGGTATAACAAAATTTTAAATTATAAATGTAGTATAGTAAATATCATAATATTGTTGAAAACTATTATTTTGGTTAAATTGAGTTAATTTTTTCTTTCTGTGAGGAGGATAAAGGATAGTCATTTAAAAAATTTCATTGATACTAGTTGCATTTGCATTTCAAATTTAGGAATGAGTACAGAGGACAAGTTGCACATAATTTAGTGCAAATAATTAGGGAAATAATAAATTACTCTAGATAATTACTCATTCTTGATTTAGTGAGTATAATTTATTATTAAGGATTTTAATTTTATTTCTATTATGTTTTGTTTGATATAAATGTCTTATCATAGTAGAACATTTGTAAATAGATAAAACTTTAAATTTGAAGCTGTGTTTAGCTTTGATTTTTATAATATTAAAGGGAGAAAAAGTTGAGGAAAATGAAGCATCGAGTTAAGACTAAGATTAAAATTTCAAAATGTTTAAAGAGGATAATTTTGTATTAAGACATTATTGAATGCTTTTTTGACATAATTCAGTAAACTTTTAGATTGGTGAAGACAAGCCCTATATTCTTAGGGGAAATTTATGTGTGGTGAAAGGTTCCTTTTTGTGTGGAAAGAATTCTTATAGACCCGTGCAGCATGTTAGCAGAGAACTGCTGCTTCATGATTATACACATGTTTATTTTGGTAAGTGAAATGTGATGAACTGTTTTTCTGTTTTGTAAATTAGTTTGAAAATGAAAAAGTAAGTTTGAAATTAGAAGAAGGAATCCAAGAAAATAAAGATTTAATAAAAGAGTAAGTAACAATTTAATGAATTTGTTGTTTCCAAATTTATTTTTATTCTAGTTTTATTATTAAAATTTTCAAAAATTAGTTGAACACTTACATATTAATTTATAAGTAGAATTCCACCTGGGTACTGTGGAAAAAAGACATATCTATTTTATACTCTAATATTTAGCAAAACTGTAATTAGTTACTAATAACTTCTTTTTTTTTTTAAATGTCAGGTATCAGGAAGAACCATTGGTTGATGTTAGAAAAAGATGCCCGATAATCTTGTATCTACAACTGCCTAGTATATTGTCTAACTTTCTGTTTCACTAGTACCTTAGACACAGCATTTATGAAATAGAGCTCAACTTAGTTTTAGTCTAATGTTCATTCTCAATTCATCTTTATGCTAGTGTAAAAATTATTTATACATGAAAAAGTATAAGTTGGGATATTAAATGTAATTAAAACTTTAGGCTGGAAAGTTAGTAACTTCAACAAAAGAGTCAGAGGTTTTTATTATGAATGCCTAAGAGTCAGAGGTTTTTATTATGAATGCCTTATTTTATGTTTTGATGGTTAGATATCTAAAACATTTCAGGGGTAGTTAATATAAAGCCCCACCCTGTCTTCTCATTTTTCTCTAGGCAAATCTGGAATTGTTTCCTGAAGGGTTCATAGCAACTTGGGTAAAAACTTGTTAAGGAGATGCCACTGTTTTTTAAAAAATGTTTTTTAAGAATTATTTTGTTATTTAATTTTATTTATTTTTATTTGACCAGCAAGAGACAGAGACAGAGAGAGAGAGAGAGAGAGAGAGAGAAGGAAGGTGAGAAAGCAAGCCACCAGGTTTAGGATTTGAACTGTGGTTGGCCCTGTGGGAATCCAGTGCCTCAACCACCATGCCACCTGCTGGCCCCCAGGAGATGCCACTTTTAAAGGGAGGCAGTTACTAAGTCTTATTTGCTAATGGTACAGTTAGCCCATGTTTTCTTCATCTAGTCCTTTATGAGTGATATGTGAAATATTACAAATACCATTTCATAAGGTATTTTTTCAATTAAAAATTTTATAAACTTTATATGTGATTTTTGCTTTGTAGTCAGATCACATTTAGGCAAATTCTTTCCTTTGTTTCAGGAATAATGCCACAAGGCATTTATGTAATCTACTCAAAGAGACCTGTGCTAGATCTGCAGAAAAGACAAAGAAATGTAAATATCTTTCTTGTTTTATGTGATTTTATTAGTTTATTATTTATTACTATTATTATTATTTTTTTGTAGAGTTTTACTATAGGGCACATGTGCTTGCTAGAGAGACAGAAAGCGACAAGTCACCTCCAGGGCATGGCCATGCCGCAGTCCCTTCTCCTCTTGGGATTTTGGACATGCATACACACACTCCTGGTGTGAATTTCAAGTCACCGGTTTTGGGATGCGAACCACAGTCAGCCATATGTGAGTCTGGCAGCATCACTATTACGCCATTTGTTGGTCCCAATTACTTATTGTTCGAGATGAAGAAATTGCCTTAACTTTTTAAAACCAGTTTTGATTTGAACTAATTATGTTTATGTAAGCAGTAACTAATTTCTCTGTTTTTTGAGTTTTTTTTTTATTTTAATATTTATTTATCTATTTAATTGTTGTGATTTTCAACCTGCTGGGTCTGGGATTCAGACTGCGGTTGACTGTGTGGAACCTAGACTCTCAACTACCGCACCACTTGCTGGCCCCTGTCCTTTGAGTTTTGAATTTTTTGAAAACTCAAAAGTTTTTGAAATATGCTATATTGCAAAAGATATATACTTGGCATTTATAATACCTGTTTTAGTTTAAGTGTGAAGGGCTATGCTGAAGGCATGGTGAGTAAAAACAGTGCTGCAAGGTTGAATTCTAACTGGAACAGAATTCTCAAATTTTTCCTAAAGAAACATTCTTTTAAAACATTCTGCTATAGTAATGGTGTATAAATAAAAGAGAAGTCTTTAAAATTTTATATATATTCTGATTTTTTTTTTTGAGAGGTTTATGCTATAGGGCGTGTGCGCTCGCCCAGAAAGACAGAGAGAGACAGAGAGAAAGTGAGAAATCACCCTCCAGGGAGGATGACCACACTGCAATCCCTTTTCCTCCATTCTCCTCTCAGGATCTTGGGCATGCATGCACACGTGCCCGGCAACAGTTTAAGCCACTGGGTCTGGGATTTGAACTGTGGTCAACTATATGGGAGTCCAGTGACATAGCCATTACGCCAACTGCTGGTTCCCATATTCTGATTTTTTAAAAACGTTTATTTCTTGTGGCCAGCAGGTGGCTTGGTGGTTAAGGCACTGGAATCCCGCATGGTCAACTGTGGTTGGAATTCCAGACCTGGTGGTTCATGCTCTCACTTTCCCTTTCTCTCTGTCTCTCTCTGGTCACACTAAAAATAATAATAATAATGAAATTAAATAAATAGATTTTTTTTTTTGAGAGGTTTTTGCTATAGGGCGCATGTGCTCGCCAGAGAGAGAGAGACAGAGAGACAGAAAGCGAGAAATCACCCCCCGTGGGGATGGCCACGCCACAATCCCTTCTCCTCCATTCTCCTTTCAGGATCTTGGGCATGCAGGCATATGCGCCTGGCATGAGTTTAAGCCACCAGGTCCAGGACTCGAACTGTGGTTGACTACATGGGAGTCCAGTGACATAGCCATTATGCTAACTGCTGGTCCCAAGGAGTTTATTTCTTTCATGAGAAAAAGAGAGGGGGAAAGTGAGGAAAAGAGAGATAGAGAGACACCACCCACAAGTGGCCCTGGATCCTGGGCATGTTCATTCCTTATTTACTCAGGGAAGTCTCTGGATGGAAAGTCTCTGGATGTGAACCTGGAATCATGTGTTCCACTTCTTGGCTCCCTTTAAAAAAAAAAATCTTAGTATTTGCCTTATTATTAATGTAAATTTTATCAAAATTCTCACTAAGTTATTGACTAGGCTTTCCTTTTGTTACTGTATTTGTGAAGTTTCCTTTTTATTTTCTTAGAGATATTTTTGCTATAGGGTGTGTGTGCTTGCCAGAGAGAGAGAGAAAGAGACCGAAAGCAAGAAATTACCCCCTGGGGGGATGGCCACACCACAATCCTCCTCCTCCATTCTGCCCTTGGGATTTTGGGCATGTACGCACATGCACCCAGTGTGAGTTTTACACCTCTGGATCCAGGATTTGAACCACGGTCGACTACGTGGGAGTCCAGCAATGTAACCATTATGCCATCTGTCAGTCCTGATTTTTTCCTTTCTTCTTCTTCTTTTTTTTTTAATAATTGTTTTATTTACATTTATTTATTTATTATTTATGAGTGAATCAGAGAGGGAGGGGGGGTGGGAGAGAGAGAGGGAAAGTGAGAAAGCAAGCTGCCAGGTCCAGGACTTGATCTCCAGTCGGCCATGTGGGAGTCCAGCGCCCTTAACCTCCAGGCTACCTGCCAGCCACTGTCTGGAATGTTTTTTAAGTTGCTGGATCTAGGACTCAATCTGTGTTGTTAGCTAAGCTTTGTTGGATCTAACTTCCTTAATCACCAGACAATGGACCGGTCTTTAGTTTTTTCTTTTCTTTTTTTGGAGAGTTTTTTTTTTTTTTTTGCTATAGGGCGCGTGTGCTCGCCAAACAGATAGAGAGACAGAGAGACAGAAAGCGAGAAATCACCCTCTGGGGGGATGGCCATGCTGCAGTTCCTTCTCCTCCATTCTCCTCTCGGGATCTTGGGCACACACACACACACACACACACACACACACACACGCGCGTCTGGTTGAGTTTAAGCCACCGGGTCCGGGACTTGAACCGCATTTGACTATGTGGGAGTCCAGTGACATAGCCATTATGCTAACTGCTGGTCCCCTTAGTTTTTTTTCTTTTAAGAATTATTTCATTGGGTGGGGGGTAGATGGCATGGTGTTTAAAGGTGCTGGATTCTTACATGGCCGACCTTGGTTTGAGTCCCAGACCTGGAGGCTTGCTCTCTTTCTCTCTCTCTCTCTCTCTGTCTCTTTCTGGTCACAATTGAAAAATAATGATAATAAATAATTCTAAAAGAAAAAGTAAATTATTATTTTATTGGGCCAGCAGATAGCATAATGGTAAGTCACAGGACTCCCATATAATTGACTGAGGTTTGAGTCCTGGACCCAGCGGTTTAAAATTCACACTAGCCATCTTTGTGTGCGTGCCTAAGATCCTGAGAGGAGAATGGAGCAGAAGGGATTGTGGCACAGCCATCCCCCCTTAGAGGGGTGATTTTTCACTTTCTGTCTCTGTCTCTCCAGAGAGTGCACATGCCCTATAGCCAAAATCTCTCTTAAAAAGAGAGAACACGAAAATGAGAAGGCAAGCCATGTCCAGGACTCGAACCATGGTTGGCCATGCAAGAGTTCAGTGCTCTTAACCATCACATTACCTGCTGTTTCTGGCTCTTAAATATTTTAATGTCTTAAGTACTGTCTTGTTAGTGTCATGCTTTAAAATTTAATTTTGAACATTTTTTATATTAAAAATAGATGAATATGAACGAGAAGAAACTAGACAAGCTTATATGGATCTAAATAATAACATTGAGGTAAGTATTAATGAAATTTTGAATATTCTAAACAGAAGAAATTTTTAAGTAAGATAGTGATATTTACAAAGATAGTGAGCAACAGTTTTTGCTAGAAATATTATTTATATGTTATTTATTGTATCACCAATAAAATTCTGTGCTATAAGTATTAATATTTTGTTATATATATATTCACATATATTTTTAAAGAATTACTTTATTTAACTTTATGCTTTAATTAATTTATTTATATTTTAATTTGACTAGAGAAGGAGGGAGGGAGGGGGGAGAGAAGAGAGGGGAAGAAGGAAGAGGAGAGAGAGAGAGAGAGAGAGATAAAGCAATCGACTAGGTCTGGGACTGGAACTGTAGTTGGTCATGTGGGAGACTAGCATCCTTAGCCACCACACCACCAGCTGGTCTCATATATGTGTTTTTAATTTACAAGTTAGTTACATAATTTAACTTGATTTGTTCAATATTTATTGATCCTGTTTCAGAGACCAGCACTTCATGACACTTAACCAATATTACAAAAACATATAAAGTATCAGTTCATGTTGTGTTTGGCTCCTGCTTACTTTTGTTGTCTTATCTATCATTCTCCACTTTTTTTCTGCAATAGTCACTCTTTTATGTTTCTCAGATCTGCTAAGTTTTTTCTGATCCTGGTTCTTTGAGTTTGTTCTCTTCATTTAGAACTTTTATGTCTATATTCTTATACACACTTATAAACTTCATTCTACTTTTTAATTGCCCTTTCTTACTACTTTATTTAAAATATGTTTCTATTTGATTGTTCTATGTCTCCCCACTGTATTTAACTTTTCTGAAGAACACTTAAAACTACACATAATTTGAGGCTGGCAGGTGGTGTGATGGTAAAGGTACTGGACTCCCACATGGCCAACTGTAGTTCGAGTCCTGGACCTGGTGTCTTGTTTTCTCACTTTCCCTTTCTCTCTCTCTCTGTTGTTGGTAAAATTAAAACATAAATAATAATAACAAATAAAATAAAATAAAATAAATCTTAAAAAACCCCATAATTTATTTGCTATATATGTATTTATCTGTATGTAACATATAACCCTAGTTCTAATAGGGTAGACAATTTATGTTATTTCCCAAGTGTGTAAAACAACTCCTGACACCCAATAGATACTTAAAAATATTTAATTACTGAATTAATTAGTCTGATTTTGCAAAGCAAGATTTATTGACTATTGAATGAATGTATACTGCCAGATAATGAAAGTATAATTTTCAACTCTTATAACGGAGAGCCTTTACTTTTGTGGAGAAGACAGAAATTAAATAATCACAAATAAATATAAACTACAGATTTGGTATGTGCTACTAAGGAAAATAACTAGCATATGAACAATGGTTTTGCTGTTGTTTGTATGATATAACATGTCTCCTAATTCTTTGAACATGTGGAAAACTAATGTAGGGAGTCTAAAATATACTTCTTTGGCATACTTCTGGGATAACTATCCAGAGAGGCTGCAGGTAGTTAGCTTGAAAGAAAAGCAAATGTATAGAAGTTTTTATCTATTTAAATCAGTAAACACTACTTTTGGACACTGGAAGGAAATTATAGAAGTCCAACATTTGGCCCAAAAAAACGGGATAATTTTTACATCTTTGTGTTTTCTCCCCTCACCATTTCAGACCTTTATATTCTCCTGGTCATTCTCTGAGTTACATTTATGTGGCTTCTGTATATACATGGATACTTTAAAATTTGTATGCCTTTTCTCTTATTTTTTAGTTTGTTAGAGAGCATATATATATATAGAGAGAGAGAGGGACGGTAAGAAAGCATCCTCCATGGAGGATGGCCACTCAATCTCTCCTCCTCCATTTCTTCTCTTGGGATTCTGGGAATGTATGCACACTTGCCTGGCATGTTTCTCAAGTGCTGGACCATGCCAGGTCCGGGACTTGAAACTGTACAATCAGCCATGTGGGATTCAGCTGCCTTAACCACCACACCATTGGCTGGCCTTGTCTTTTCTCTTATTAATCTGCATATTGTTAGGGATTTTCAGTGAATTTCAGAGGGGGAGAGTGTTCATTCATTTTTATACTAGTGTAATAAGAACTCAATACTTTCTGTGGATTCTTTAATTACTTACAAAGTTATAGGGTTTTGTCATTTAAAGTTGTGTGGTTTTAAAACTAACGATCACATTATACAAATGTATTAACTTTTGTACAGTTTGAAGAAAGTTTTAAAAGTCTAATTCTTAAAAGCTAAACTTTCTATTACAGAAAATGATAATAGCTTTTGAGGAACTTCGTGTGCAAGCTGAGAACTCCAGACTGGAAATGCATTTTAAGTGTAGGGCTCCTGTTTAATTTTCATGTTACTGTTTTGCTGTGTATATTTTTATTAGATTCTATTTATGTTTTCATTACTTCATCTGATAGCTTCAACTATTTTATATTTTGTATTGTCTTTGTTTTGTAAGCCCCTCAAAATCTTGTGGAATGTGGCAGGGAATTGATACTATAGTCTTCAGAAAGTTCCTAGAAAATGAATAGAATGAAAAAATTATGCATGGATTTAAAAAATTTTTTATACAGAAAACTCTCATATTTTAATTCCATTTTTTCATGAATTTTTTTGAAGCTCCATAATATTTAAAAATACTTGTTGGATTTAAAACTTATTTTTCATGAAATGAAACTTGTAATTTGTATTTAATTTTTAAAAAGTGTGGTTTTGTCTTATTTTTTCATTTCTTGGTAAAGTATCCTTGTTAAAATAATACACATACACATGTACTTTTAAAACCTATCATTTCTCTTTTTTATAGATTTTTTTTTTTTTGGAGTGGTTTTTGCTATAGGGCGTGTGCGCTCTCCAGAAAGAGAAAAAGCGAGAAATCACTCCCCAGGGGAAATGGCCATACCACAATCCCTTCTCCTCCATTTTCCTCTCGGGATCTTGGGTATGCACACACATGGGCCCAATGTGAGTTTAAGCCACCGAGTCCGGGACTCGAACCGCGGTCGACTACATGGGAGTCCAGCGACGTAGCCATTATACTAACTGCTGGTCCCTAAAACCTATTATTTCAATTTAGTGTGTTATAAAGAATAAACCTAAATGTATGTGTTATTATAACAACTATAGAATTTTCAGTTGTTATTACTTTGATATTACTTAAATTCACTATTTTGCTTACTAGAAAGTTAGCAGGAAGATATTTTCAACTTTTTAGAAATTTTTTTAGTTTTAATATAATTTTGGGATAAATAATGAGGTGAAATAAAACTTTAAGTACTGTTTGTGGGGCCAGCAAGTGGTGTGGTGGTTAAGGCACTGGATACTTACACATGGCTGACCACGATTTGACCATGACCTGGACCTGGTGGCTTACTTTCTGACTTGACCCCTCCCCCCCACCCCGTGTGTGTTTGATTAAATTAAAATGAATGAATGAATGAATGAATAAATAAAATAATTCCTTAAAAATTTTTTGTTTGTAATAGAAAGGTTATACCTTATGTAAAGACATTTCAGTATATTTGTTTTACTTTTAAAGTAAAGGAAGATTATGAAAGAATCCAACACCTTGAAGAAGAGTACAAGAAGGAAATAAATGACAAGGAAAAACAGGTGTTTTTTTTTTTTTTGAACAAACTTTTTATTTACTAATTCATAAAATACTTAAAATTTCAAAAGAAATTTGTGTTTGCTGACTACATGATAAATTTCTACGAGACAGTTTTAATTCTGTATATGTCTATTTAGCCTTTTGCCTAGCTAAATTAATTTTATTAACTTGAATGTGCACTCACTGAATGCTAATCTTTTTGCTCTTTTTTACACTGTGACAAATTTATTATTCACAATTCTGAACTTTTTTGTTTTATAATTAATGACTTATAATTTTCATATTAGAGGGCAATAGAACATTGCACAAAACTATATTTTGTTTTAAATTTTGCTTAGACAGAAACTTCATAAAAATGTAAAGATGATTATTGATTATTTCACTCACATTTACAGTTTATTTTGGAATATTATCTCCATAACACCAGGGGAGGATAATGAAAACAGTATCTTTTGCTTCTTTTAACTTGCATAGTGGAAGACTTGAAATGGTTAAGTCTGTGTCTTCTGACATTCATAGGATTGTTGATTTCAGATTATTATTATGCCAACTGTATAAGCTGCAATCTTGCTTCCCAAATGGAAAGTTATATACAGAGAGGAATCCTGTTCTATTTGTCATTAGTTTTCATTTTTACCCTTTGGTTTGCTACTTGTAATTATAATAAGGATATGAATATACTTACACAATAAAACAATTAGTTGGAAGTATAGAAGGATACTTAGAGTTTTTTTTTTAAGAATTACTTTATTTGGGGAACCAGCAGTTAGTATGGCTATGTTGCTGGACTCCCACGTAGTCGACCGCGGTTCGCGTCCTGGACCTGGTGGCTTAAAACTCACGCTGGGCGCGTGTGCGTGCGTGCCCAAGATCCCGAGAGGAGAATGGAGGAGAAGGGATTGCAGAGTGGCCATGCCCCCTAAGGGGTAATTTCTTGCTTTCTGTCTCTGTGTCTCTCTCTGTCTGTCTGGTGAGCGCATGTGCCTTATAGCAAAAAACCTCTCCAAAAAAAAAAAAAAAGAATTACTTTATTTAACTTATTTTTGTATGCTAAGGTCATGCATATTATGAAAAACCTATGCATGGAGACTATCCATTTCTTCCAACTGCTTTTTTTCTTTACATAATTATAGTTTGGATTATAGAATTATTGAACTTTTATGGTTCCATGGAAGATAAAGTCTGTATTTATTGTTTTCCAAATTATATATTGGGTGATTTTGAGATGAACATAGGGCGGACAGCCTTTGCTGTACATTGAGCTCCATAGAGACAGCACTAGGGCAAGTGAGAGCTAGACGGGCACTGAAGGGCACTGTGCCTCATGGAGAAAAGATAACTAAACATGGGCAAAAGAAATACTAAGAAGCTGAGAGGCAAAATGTCATCATATGCATTCTTTGTGCAAACTTACCGGGAGGAGCACTAGAAGCAGCACTCAGATGCTTCAGTCAACTTCTCAGAGTTTTCTAAGAAGTGCTCAGAGAGGTGGAAGACCATGTCTGCTAAAGAAAGGAAAGTCTGAAGATATGGCAAAGGAGGACATGGCCTGTTATGAAAGAGAAATGAAAACCTATATCCCTCCTACGGGGAAACAAAAAAGAAGTTCAAGATCCCAGTGCACTCAAGAGACCTCTTTTGACCTTTTTCTTGTTCTGTTCTGAAGATTGTCCGAGAATCAAAGGAGAACATCCTGGTCTATCTGTTAGTGATATTGCAAAGAAACTGGGAGAGATGTGGAATAACACTGCTGCAGATTGTAAACAGCTTTTTCAAAAGGCTACTAAGCTGAAGGAAAAATATGAAAAGGATATTGCTACATACTGAGCTAAAGGAAAGCCTTGATGCAGCAAAAAAGGGAGTTCTCAAGGCTGCAAAGAGCAAGAAAAAGGAGGGAGGAGGAGGAAGACGAGGAAGATGAAGAAGTGAGGAAGATGAGGATGAAGATGATGAATAAGTTGGTTCTAGTGCAGTTTTTTTCCTTTTCTGTAAGGCATTTAGCCTCCCAGTCATATACTCAACTCACTCCTTTTAAAGAAAAAAATTGAAATGTAAGGCTGTGTGAGATTTATTTTTAAACTAGACAGTATCTTTTTTTTTTTTGTATAGTTAACTCTACTGAATGTGTCTTTAGATAGCCCTGTCCTGGTGGTATTTTCAATAACCACTTACCTTGCCTGGTACAATATGGGGTTGTAAATTGGCATGGAAATTTAAAGCAGTTCTTGTTAGTACACAGAACAAATTAGTTATATATGGGTATGGTAGTTTTTTCATGTTAAGTTGTCTCTGATGCAGCTTATACAAAATAATTGTTCTGTTAACTGAATACCATGCTGTACTTGCAAAATAAAAAAAAATTGCAGCTGTTTTGTTGGCATTCTGAATACTTCTAAGTAAATACAATTTTTGTTTTTGGAGAGGTTTTGCTATAGGGTGAGCACAACAGAGACAGACAGACAGAAAGTGAGAAATCATGCCCTGGGGGGGGATGGCCACACCACAATCCCTTCTCCATTCTCCTCTCAGGATCTTGGGCACACATGCACACACACCCAGCATGAGTTTAAGCTACCAGGTCCAGGACTCGAACCATTGTTGACTGCATGGGAGTCCAGCGACATAGCCATTATACCAACTGCCAGTCTAGTAAATACAATTTTTTTATTTCAAAAAAAAAACATGGGGCAGAGATCTTTTGTCATTTTTAATCTGGAAGTCTTCAGTCTATCTTTATAAGTTTAATTTTCACCTTTTCTTTACATCGAAAAACAGTATTTTCAGTTAGTTCTATGAATGAAGCGTGATCTCTTGATCCTTTGTGTTCTTGTATCAACCTAGAATGCTCATTTCTACATTTTTGCCTGATTAATTTGTATTTGTCTATCAAGACTCATTTCATTCCTCTGAAAATTTATTTTATAAAAAGTTTACTTATTTCTTCAGAGAAGGAGACCAGGAAAGAGGGAGAGACAACACCCCCAACAGGGTCATGGCATTGCAGTCTAACTTCAGCCTCCTCCAGTCTTAGATCATGAGCATGTGCATGCTTGGCATACTCAGGTCTGCAGAGGCAAACCCAGAACCCTTCCCATGTGGGTCGGCTTCATAGAGTGTCACATTTTACCATTATGAAAAATAGTAAAATTTTATCCCACAAATAATTTTAAATTACTTCCTCACACTGATTTGTGCATTACTTTTGAAAGTTCCTATAACATTTTTGTCCTATTAATATTCAGGTTTAGTTGTTTCTTATCTAGGCTATGGGTTCCCGAAGATGAGTTCCCTCATTCATGTGTATTAAATGCTTTTTATAGTTTCTGGCACAGAGTAGATGCTCAGTAATTTTGAATAAATCAATTGGTAGTTTCCATTATATAATTTTCTCAGTAATAATTTGATATTTGTAGTATAATTTTGAGTATATCATACTAGATCATCCATTCATTTACTAGATGTTTATTTTGCAAGTATGTATTAAAGGCTGGGCCCAACCAGTTGAAAAGTATAAAAACAAGTATATAAAATAATTGTAAGTGATGATAAATATTATGGTATCATATTTAGCTTTTTATATCTATAATGCATTATTTAAATATTTTAGGTATCACTGCTAATGATTCAAAGCACCGAGAAGGAAAATAAAATGAAAGACCTAACATTTCTACTAGAAGAATCAAGAAATAAAGTTAATCAATTAGAGGACAAAATAAGTAAGAATTCATATAAGAAAATATAACAGTATATCTTATATATTCCTCTTGCTATATGTTCTAAATTTTGGCTTTTATTAAAAGTTTGTTGTGAAGCTTCCTAGTGCTGTAATTCTCAACACAGGTTATATTGGTTTGAGGAGGCCATAATAAAATCGCTTGGGAAACTTTTTCAAAATATATATACTTTTCTCTTTTCCGTCCTCTTAACTTTCTTCAAAATTTCAATAATGGGGACCAGCAGTTAGCATAATAACTAAGTTGCTGGACTCCCATGTAGTCGACCGTGGTTTGAGTCCCAGACCCGGTTGCTTAAACTCAACGCCTGGTGCATGTGCATGCATGCCCAAGATCCTGAGAGGAGAATGGGGAGGAGAAGGGATTATGGTGTGGCCATCCCCTCTGAGGGGGGAGGGGTGATTACTTGCTTTCTGTCTCTCTGTTCCTTTCTGTCTTTCCAGCGAGCGCACACACAGCCTATAACAAAAATCTCTCAAAAAAAATTTTCAATAATGTACAAAGAACAGTATTTTTGTCTTTTTTCTCTCCACTGATTATACATTCTAATTGCCTAGAACGGCGCCTGCCACATCTGAGGCACTTAATAAATACTTTATGAATGAACTAAGTCCATGGGAGCACTATGGAGGAAGTTACTAATTCTTTCCTGAGCAAGACTTTTGGAAAGGCATTAGAGAAAAACTGTTGAACAACACAGATTTATTACCATACAGATTTGGAAATCAGAGGTCCAAAATTAGTCTAATAGGGTTAACATCAATATGTTGGCATGTCTTAGGTCTTTCTGGAGACTTTCAGGGAGAATTTGTTATTTTCTTTCTCAGCTTCTAGAGGCCACCTGCATTCCATGGCTTATGGCCCCTTTCTCACATAATTCTAACTTCTGCTTCTGTTGTCTCATTTCCTCTAACTTTGATCTTTCTACCCCCCTTTTAGCAGGCTGTTGTTTGTGTTTGTATAACTCACCTGGGTAATAAGGAATAATCTTTACATCACAAAGTTCTTTATCATACCTGCAGCTTTTTTTGTGTGTAAGGTAACATTTTCACAGGTTCTGGTGATTAGGTCATGAATATTTTTAGAGATTTATTATTTTATTTTCTACAGTGGTGGTATTAAGTTCTTTAATCTTGATTTTTTTTGTCTAATGTTTTTATTAGTTTCTTAGAGAAGCGTTTTGAAGACTTCAAATATTGTATAATGTGGCTATGTGTATTGTTCTTTTCAGTTCTTACAGTTTTTAATTCACATATTTTGTAGTTCTGTTTTTTGTGAATACACATTTAGGATTGTTCCTATCTTTTTGGCTCTTTTATCACGTAATAGTTCTCTGGTAATTTTCTTACTGTGAAGTTTATGCTACCTCATATTAATGTCATTCTTACTTTTGATTAATGGTTGTATGTTGTAACTTTAAAATTTTTTTTATTTTCAAACTGTGTATATTATTATATATGAAATAAGTTTTCTGTAGCTAGCATGTAATTGGGTTACTTTTTAAAAATTCAGTTTGCCAGTGATATATTTAAGATCATTTATATTTAATGTAATTATTTATTTGTAAGGGCTTAAATCTTTAATTCTTTTGTTTGATATTTACCTCTGTTTTCTTTTTTTTGGAGAAGTATTTGCTATAGGGTGTGTGCACTCACCAGAAAGAGAGACTGAAAGTGAGAAATCACCCCCTGGGGGGGATGGCTGTGCCACAACCCTTTCTCCTCCATTCTCCTCTCGGGATCTTGAGCACGCATGCACGCATGCCCGGCATGAGTTCAAACCACTAGGTCTGGGACTTGAACTGCAGTCACCTCCGTGGGAATCCAGTGATGTAGCCATTATGCCATCTGCTGGTCCTGATATTTGCCTCTGTTTTCTATTTTACACCTTTTTGTGAGGTAACTTGATTTTATTTTCCTTAAGAATTCCATTTTGACTTATCTGTGTTTTTGTTTGTCTCTATTTTTTTTTCTTTCATGACTACTATTGTTACTGTGGAAAAATACATAACTTAACAGAATCTGTTGGCATCATCATTTTACCAGTTCAAGTGAAGTATAGAGTTTTCCTTCCTTTTTTTTTTTTTTTACATAATTTACTATCCCCATTTTTAATACAGTTGTCTTTAATATTTCTTTAACATACATTTAAAACCACACTGGATGAAGTTAAAATTTTCACTTCAATAATTAAACATAAGTTAGAAAATTCAAGAGAAGGAAAGGAAAGCCTATTGTATTTACCCATGTTTTATCATGTTCTCCTTTCCTGTTATTTCCAAGCCTCCTTTTATTTCCTTTTTGATTGAAGTACTAAGTCATTGTTTTAGAACAAGTCTACTTGCAAGAAATTTCCATAGAATTCCTTCATCTAAGAATGTCTTGATCTGTTTTTCCTTGAAACATGTTTTCATTAGTTATAGGATTCTGATTGCCAGTTGTTTTCTTTCATAACTTACAAAATATTGCACCACATTGTTCTGACTACCACAATTTCTGATGAGAAATCCATTATTATTCTGTTATGTTGCTGGAAAAGTCATGATGTATTTTTTCTGTTTTTCTATGCAAAAATGGATAATGACTTATCTGACATCCCAATAATACTCCTCCCCCATCTGTAAGATATTGTTTTTCACTAGCTTTCAGTATATTTTTTTGTTTTTAGTTTTTAGAAATTTAAATATATCTTGCACTGGCATGTATTTCTTTGGGTTTATCTTCTTAGAGATTTGCTAAGCTTCTTACGTATGTAGGGTTGTATGTTTTGCCAGCTTTGCAGAATTTTCAGGCATTATTTCTTTGAATACTTTTTCAGCTCTGCTCTCTTGATGTTCTCTTTCAAGGGACTCCGCTGACATGAAACTTAGATATTTTGTTATAGTCCCACAGATCTCTAAGCTTTGTTCATTTTAAAATTTTTTTGACGGTGCTTTCTCTTTTCAGACTACCTAATTTTTATTGTTCTGTTTTCTAGTTCTTTGACCCTCCTCCCTTTGGCTGTTGAGCTCTTCCATGGAGTTTTAATTTTTTAATTTTTTTTTTTCCGTTAGAAACTTTCCGTATGGGGGACCATATGTTGGCGTAATGGCTATGTCGCTGGACTCCCATGTAGTTGCCTGCAGTTCGAGTCCTGGACCCAGAGGCTTAAAACTCACTCTAGGAGCATGTGTGTGTGTGCCCAAGATCCCGAGAGGAGAATGGAGGAGAAGGGATTGGGCGTGGCCATCTCCCCTGGGGGGTGATTTCTTGCTTTCTGTCTCTCTGTCTGTCTCTGTCTTTCTGGCAAGCACCTGTGCCCTGCAACAAAAACCACTCAAAAAAAATTCCATATGTTTCTTTGGTGAGATGTCTTGTTTCTTTACTGAAACTAAGTCTTTATTGGTTTCTGGTGTATTTATAATAGCTTATTGAAGCATTTCTGCTATGCTGTTTCAAAATCTTTGTCAGTTAATTCTAACATACCTGTTATCTTGATTTTAGTATCTATTGATTGTCTTTTAAATTTCAGTTTGAGATTTTTCTGTTTCTTGTAATGATGAGGAATTATGCTTGTAAACTAGATGCGTCTGTGTTGTGTTATGAGACTTTGAATCTTATTTCTGTTGTTTTAACTGGCTTCCTTTGACATTGTGTTTTTAGTATGGAAAGAGGAGGATGCTGCCTTCTTTTTTTTTTAGATAAGTTTTTGCCATAGGGTGCAAGCACTCACCATAAAGACAGAGAGAAAGAGTGACAGAAAGCAAGAAATCACCCCTCAGGGGAGATGGCTACATCACAATCCCTTCTCCTCTGTTCTCCTCTCAGGATCTTGGGCACTCATACCCGGTGTGAGTTTGAGCCACCAGGTCTGGGACTCGAACTCCATTCGACTACATGGGAGTCCAGCAACGTAGCCATTACGCCATCTGCTGGTCCCAATACTGCCTTATTTCTGCAAGATGAGGCAGAAGTCTAGGTTTTCTACTTGACTTTTGTTGACCTAAGTAGTGGATTCCTGTTGCTGCTGGGTAGATTGGGAATTGTGGTTTTCCAGGTGGTCTCCAAAGTCACCATGGTGGGGTGGGCTTTATTACTGCTGTGATTGGCTCTGTACTAACCCTCTTCTGATACCATCCTAGTGGAGGGCTTTTAAGGTGCCTTATTATTACTGGTTGTGAGTAGACACCTGGATCCTCCTCGTGTGATCTCTACTGTCACTGGAGATGGGGGAGCTATTATTTGCTAGTGGTGATAAAACACAGGACAACAACTTAACCTTCTCTGGTGCTACCACAGTTGGGGCATTATAGTGTCTCATCCCCGTCTGGTGACATTGAAGGTCTGGGGTCCCAACTTGTATTATATTGGTTTGGCATGGGTGGGGTGGACACACAGTTTTTCTTGTGCTGTTTATCTGTAGTGAGTCTTGCAAGGTTACCTCTTTCCTGGTCCTTTGGCTAGAAAGCAGATTTTTGTTGAAGCTTCTTCTTCTTTTTTTTTTTTTTCTTTCGTTTGTGCCCAATTGTATTTGTAGATTTCTGGCTTCTTTAGTTCTTAAGTCTAGGATATGTAAGGCAAGCACCCCCCCAAAAAACAAACAAACAAAAAAATAAAAAGCCCCCTCAGAACAAAAACTGAACCAGTTCCTCCAAAAGAAAAAAAAATGCATATACCTTCTTTCTGGGCTATTTAAGGATGTTATTCTTTTTAGTCCTCACTTCTTCTATTTTTATTATGTATTTTAATTGGACAAGACATTGGTATTACTATTTTATTACAGATCATGTTTATTTGGTTTTACCGATATATTTTTGTCCATTTTCTTTATTCTTAATTCTTTTTATTTCTGTGCATCTTGAACATTTTAAGTAGATTATTTTCTTTCTTCCCTAAAGAGACTATTTAGAGTCTCTTTTAGTAAGAATATCGTTAAGATGAGCTTGCTTAGATTTTGTGTATACATTTTTTTATTCATTCTCATCTGTTAAGGATGTTCGAGTG